ACGCTTGAAGAGATCACTTCATACTAGGTCCTTTTCAGTGACTGCTCCCAGACTGGACTTTCTCCAGACTTTGATCACAGCCTTCCCTGGCTCAAACATTCATTTGCTATTGCCACGAGAACAGGCTTCTCAAGCCTAGCACTTTGCTGCCGCTGGCAATATGGCTCCAGGGTCTCACTTCCCTTTATTGTTGTGTTTTTCTTGAACACCGTCATCCTCTTTCCCATGTTTCTTTGAAAATGTTCTGGCCCTAGCACCTGTCTGATGAAATCCGTGCTACTCTTTGAGACTCATCGTGACCTTCTGCCCCTCTCTCGGAGGCCTGGCACTGCCACTGGGAAGGGCATTCTCTTCGGTCTGCAGAGCACTTACACCTCTCTTGGTGCGTCTGTCCTTCTGCTTGCTCATTTCTGCCTTTGCTTGGCTTTTTGGTGCGACTCCATGTCCTGTGATGGCCCGGATGACTACGGCATGGAATCCAGACAAAGCTCTCTGCACTTTGCCCTAGATGCCTTATGCTGCAAACAAACCTGCCCAGGACTGCTTCCTTCCCTTCTTTACGGGGACCTTCTTTCCTCGGCACCCGCTGGGTGTCACCCATCCCAGAAACAAAGCCATACAAAAGGGGAGGGCATTCTCTGACACCAAGTTCTGGAAACATGTCACTAATATTATCCTCTCAAATATATGGTACTCCATATCATCAGGCCTGGCTCACTATTTTTATGTCCCAGAAAATCCCCTTGTTTAAAATCCCAAGCTGGTTTTGTCACCCTGTCTCCCAGGTCCCCGGGGAGCAGTGTTCTTTTGATGTCACAATATTTTCATTATGTGCCCAGATCCCTAGGAATATCTAAAAGTCCTCTTCTTTCTCATTCATGAAATCAGCCTCTGCAATGGTTATATAGAAAAGGAACGCAGATGAAGTATTCATGAAGTTGAGCTTTAATCACAGAATGAGAAACAGGTGTCCACTGAATCAGCATCTTAAAATGAATCTATACTTTAAAAATATTTAATTGTAGTTTTAATATTAACATCTCCGCGTCAAATTCCAGTTCTCAAATATATTATCCATCTTCTAGCTTACAAAAGGTTTAACTTGGGAAATATGGGTTTATCACTATAAGGGAGCTCATGCTGGCATCTTCATTTGCAAAGTGTAATACAAAAGGTTAAAAATAAGACTCTCATACAAATAGAAAGAAATAGAAGTCGAAGATCTTATTCAGTTCCAGTAATGAGGAAACCAGTAAGATGTTAAATGTGATTCACAACAAAGGCCAAAGCAACTGGTAGCTGGTCAGAAAGGAATGTGTAAATAGATGTGAACAAATGCAAAATCAGTTCAGGTCCCTGTAGGCCATAACCTCTTTAGTGCTAGTGGAAGGTCACTTGTAGCACTATCAGTTCACTACCAATTACGATCTATTCTTATGAAGCTGCAAAAATGGGAATCCAAATTGGGAAAGAATTTAGCACTATCACTCTTTGTAGATGACATGATAATATACATATAAAACCCTAAAGACTAAACTGAAAAACTGTTAGAAGTAATAAGTCAGTATAGTGAGGTGGCAGTCTACAAAATCAACTTACAAAAATTGGTTGCTCTTCTATATGCAAAATCTAGAAGAGAAAAATCAAGAAACTCCCATTTACTATTGCTTCAAAAATAATTAAATAGTTAGGAATAAACTTAACAAAGATGGAAAAAAATGTACTCCTTTATAATGAAAATTATAAAATGTTGTTAAAAGAAATTAGAAGAAATGGAAAAAGCCCCCCACCCCTGCATCCTCTTTGGCCTATTGCCAAGAATTTTGTTCACACTCTTGAGAGAGGCATTTTGAAAACAAACCTGTTTGTTTATTTTGTGACAGATTTGTAACTAGATAAAGGAAAAGTTGCCACAAATCAGTCTCCCCTCACCCCCACCCAACTGTCTCATCAGGGGTTCTGGGGCTCAGACTGCTTGGGTTCTAATCCGGGTTCTACCATTCATTACTGAGTGACCTTGGGCAAATGACTTAACCTCTCTCGCCTCCACTGTAACTGAGATTCCACTACAAGATGATTCTACCAAGCTTTTATTCTGACATTAAAACATCTGAGAAATAACCTGTCTCACCCCTTTAGTTCTACACCCTAAGGCAGAAGCAAAAGTAAACTGTCAAAATGAGTCAATCAGTAAGTAAGTAACATATATTAAATATGTTGAAGGACACTGTGATAGATTCTGAGGTGTCCGCAAGGAAGGACAATTCACTTTTTTAAACTATGACATAAAGGAAGAAAAATGATGAGTCAGAGGTGGCAGGAAATTACTTTCTGGATAAAGACATCCGGGGCTTTGTGCTCACCACACATGCACTGCAAGTCAACAAGTAAGCATCTTCAGAAGGAGAAGAGTTCCCTCCCCACACACACACTCCTTTCAAGCAGACAAGCTAGAAATGAAAAGCTCTGAGAGAGAGAGCAAAAAAAAATCTAAGTTGGAGCCTTGGAAAGTGGGCTCTGGGCATGTCAAATAGAGAAGCAGGGGCTCAGCTTTAATCATTTATTCAATGAGCACGAGAAAAAACAAATGCTGTATCCTCTGAATTTTAAATTACATTTACCAAGGCGCTGGAAACACATACAGTGCCTGGGAGATACAGGCCCTTTCTCTCTACATCCTTATGTTGACTTTGTCTTCAGGAAGCTGGGGAAGAAACTGAATAAATACACATTTTATTAAAAGCACAAACACAACTGTTACAAATGGATATAAATCAATATTGTCTTCCTCCCAGCCACATTTTGTCATACACATGCTAAAATTGAAAAAAGAAGAAGAAGAAAAAAAAAGGCAGGGGTGTGCACCACCAGAAACCTGAGGATAAAGACAGCGAATTCATAGTACTGAAGTTCAAGCTCAGACAGGAAGTAGCTACAAACCAAAATAGAAAGCAAAATAATGCAGGAAAATGATAACGCATGTTCAAGTCTGGATGAATTCTGCCGTCTTCAGGTCTGAGAACAGAATTTTCCTAAGATGTTGTTGTTGAACGGGACACATGCAGGTTAAGTTGTACACAAAGGAGAAAAGAGACTTTCCCCACAGAAGTTTCCTAAACCAAGACAAAAATCAAATTATGCTTGAAAAACAAAAGCCAAGGCCAGTGAGACCTCCCTCCCCACTCATGCAAGCGCTTCTGATTTGCATTAGTGAGAAAGTTTTCCTGTAAAAGGTCCATGATTAATTTGACGCTCTTATCTCAACACGACCCAACCTAGACTTACCGCTGTCTCAGCGGGATGATGAACGGCACAATTATTTTCAGCCCCTCAGCTGGGAAACTGCACTCTGGCTGGGCGCAGACATCAGCAGACATCCAGTCTACCAGCCTCGGGCCGAGGAAACAGGCTATTGCTGCCAAAGCACACTATTTACGGCCACTATTAAAAATGATTTCTCGTGTAATTTTAAGGGACGATCGAGAGGCGCGATGACTTAAACAAACACAACTGAAGGTGATTTCTCACAGTCACATGTGCTCAAGGTTTTATGCAAAAATCTGGTAAAATAGAACGAGGCTGATCTCTAGGTTTAAAAAAAGCTCTGTCTGAGTTCATAAGCTGGCTATTTACTATTCTGAAAGAAAAAGGCAAAGTGAACTGGACACTAGACAAGACTGATTTTGCAATTGCATCATGTGTGCGCATTTCTGGTTTCCTTGTCAAAGATTCCCAGGTCGTAAAAATTTGTAAAAAAAAAAAAGTTGACAAAAGGAAATATATGACAGACAGACTGAAAACCTCCCACCAGCGGAGACCAGTGTATTTATGTTGTTGGGGGAGGAAGTGGCAGTGACAGCCTTTCATCTGTGTGGGCCCCCTTTAAATTCATTAGGAGCGACCACTCATATTTCAGGTACGCGTGCCCTGGGCCTCGCGTGACCAGGAGGCCACTCAGACCTGTGGAGCCTCTGGTGGAGGCTCAGCACTTGTTTCTGAAAACGTGACTTGGATGGAAACCCTCGTCAGAGAATGTGCTACGTCAGGGTTCTCCGTTGCTGTCACGTAAGGAAAATAAAAGGCAGGTGCGATCATGCAAAGGAGGAAGAGGCGATGACAGGCCGCCAGCAGAAGTGCCGGGACCGGGCGAAGACAAGGAGAGGGACCCTCACCTCCTGAGGTGCGATGTCCATCTTGAAACTGTGACTGAACTCGGAAATAAAGAAATAAGTACAGAAGTGAAAGTTCCCGTCAGGCCCTGGCCGTTGTTTGTTTTCTATTCTAGAAGGTGTATTTTTAACAAAATTGAAGCCTAACTCTTTATTTTACCTTAAGCTAACCTGTGTTTGCCCCTTCTCTGTTCTTCAAACCCCTGCAGAGCGTGCCACGGGCACTTAGATGGCTCCTCGGTGCACCCCTGTCGCACTGGGTATCAAAACTCACACGTGCCAACAGATGAAGCCGCCAGGAGGTTTTGGGAAGATGGTGACGGCATTCCCTGGGGCTGCAGACTGCGGGCCTCCCCACCGGCTCTCCCAGTGCAGGCGGTGTGACGCGTGCAGGTGAGGCTGGCGACCAGGACCTGTGCCCGTGGCCAGCAGCACTGACGTCACATCAGCTCTTGAGGTAGAAAATTTACGACTCATTACTAACTCTGCGAAGAACACTTAACCATGTTTAAATATAAAAGTTTAAAAACGACGCAAAGATGCTATGACTGTCCCGTATGTCTACTTCAGTACAAAGCTAAGTCTAGTTCAATGGGAAGGAGGTTTGGAATGAGATTGCTATTTTGACTGATTTTAAAATATATACCTACTTCAGAATGTTTCTGTGTGGTACGGTGGATCTTGCACTCACAACCCTTTTACTCCAATGCAGGGAAGATGGCACCTTGGCATCTTGCTGGGCCGCTCGCGGGCTTGCATTTGACCCTCACACAGACTGTAGCACAGGAGTGAAAGCCTTGGGGGTGGGGGGCCGGGGGGTGGCGCCCACACTTGGTGCCTCACACCTAGGAGAGAGGCTGGGAGGCCCGGAGCGAGGATGCCTCTGAGGCTGTAACTAGCCACTTGGGCCTCAGGGTTCTGGGACTTGGGAGCCTGGCTATCTGCAGAAACAGAATTCTAAGGGCATCGTCACGTAACCCACACATCCTGGCAAACAAGTAATTCATTGCGTGTTTTAAAATACTGGTTCAGAACAACCAAGGGGACATACTGCGCAGATAAGATGGCCAGAGAGTGAAGGGGCCAGGCCAGAGGACCATCTTCAGCCAGGGTGGGAAGCTGATGCCCACACTTCTCCTCGGGGGGAAAGGCAGGTGGAAGAAGTTGAGAGTTGAGGGAAACACAGTGGAGGGAGGGTGGGGAGGGCAGAGCGCGTCCCCCTCGGCGCTCCGGGGGCCCTCTGCGGAGAGGGGGAACACAGCGGAGTGTCTGGTCGGTTTGGGTGGGGCACACAGGCTCCTGCTGCCTGTTCCAGGACCTGCCTAAACACGCGTGGCGACGTTACCTGCTGCGGACACAGCTCAAAAAGCAAACAGCCCTAGCCCTGGCGGGCAGGCGCAGGGCGGAGGGCGCAGGTCTGGCCCCCCTGGCAACGTTCAAGGCGGAACCTGGGCCGGGACCCCCCCCGAAAGCACCCGCGGGCGGGAAGCGGGCGCGCCTCACTTCCTCCCCTTCCCCCGGGTCACCACCTCGGCGTAGGGCGTGTGGATGAAGTCGTACAGCTGCTTGGCGTTGGCGGAGTTGCCCAGAACGGCCGCCAGCTCGGCCTGCGACAGGCGTGCCAGCTCCGCGAGGCTCCCGACCTGGTTCATCAGCGCGTGGCAGTTCTTGGCGTTCACTCCCGGCATCTTCAGCAGGAAGTCCTGGGGCCCGGGGCGGTACCTGTCGGACTCGGGCAGCGTGTCCGAGTCGGCCGTGACCGCCGCGGCGGCCGCGGCGTCGGGCTGCGGCTTTTGCAGCTTGAGCTCCTCGAACAGCTCGGCCGTGGCGTGCGGGGACGGGCACCAGAGGAGCCGCAGCCGCGGGAAGTGCAGGGTCAGCAGGGCGAGCCGGGCGCTCACGTCGGTGCCCGAGGTCTCCGGGTACCAGGCCCCGCGCGCGGTGAGCGAGAAGGGCTTGCGGGGGTCGAACTCGATGAGCAGCAGCGGCCGCGGGTAGTAGCGGGCCATGGCCACGCACTGGCTGTACAGGCGGCCGTTGTTCAGGGAGCCGATCAGGTCGCTGATGCTCTTGCGCTCCACGCACATCTCGGGGGTCAGGATGTAGTCACCCACCTCCAGGGTCACAGGCTCGATGTCTATGCCCCGGCGGTGGATCAGCGAGGGGAGCTCGCTGCGAAACTCCCGCATGTCCACCACCACGCGCTGCGGGGCGCCCTGCTGCTCCTGGCCGCCTGGCGGGGAAAGGCCGAGTTTAACGGGCTGTCACCCCAGAACCTCCCGGGAGGGCGAGCACCCTTTCAGATCGCTAAAACCTCGCTTTTTTCAGTGTTTTGGGAAAGATTTCTTTACCAAGTTCAACAAGGCAATGCCCATTCCTTAGGGGCAGGATGGTCAGGGGGCCCCACAGTTCTGGCCACTCAGAAGTGCCCGCGAACGTCCGCAGGCCCTGCCGCCCCTAGGAGCCACCGCGCTGCCCACGGGGTGCCCAGTTCCTGGGACAGAGCCTGGCTGGCACACAGCAGGTGCTTAAAAGTGCTTGCTGCCTTGCAACTCGCTGGGAACCCTTCTGGAGCTTTTAGGGCTCATGTCAGCGAGTCCAGGGATGGGGACATGGAGGGAGCGGGAAATGCAGGAGCCCTCAGCCGGGGCTCCCCAGCATCCTGTGGGGGTGCAGGGCAGGCTGTATTTGTAGGCCTGGGTCGGGGTGCTTCTAGCAAGGCACAGTGAGGCTGATGCTGCTGGTTCAGGGATCTCACCAGGGCTGCTGACGGCCGGACAACGGGCTCTAAAGACCACGCTCTAATCCCTGAGGCCCGTCACATGCTACGTTACATGGTAAAACGACTTTGCGGATGTGACTAGATTAAAGGCCTTATGGTTGGGGGGTATTCTGGATGAGCCAGGCAGGCCCAGCGTCCTGGCGAGGGAGCGAGGGAGGGCGGCAGGAAGGTCAGGCAGACTGGCTGGCTGTGAGGGGCCAGGAGCCAGGGGACACATGGCGGCCAGCAGAGGGCAGGCGGGAGGGGCTCTCTCCAGAGGCTGCAGGAGGAGCACGGCCCTGCGGACACCTGGACAGTAGCCAGGGAAGCCCACCTGGACTGCAGAATTGTGAGGCAATAAATCTGTGTCGTTTCAAGCCACCAAATTCATGGTAGTTTGTGACTGCAGCCACAGGAAACATTTGAATACAAGGGCTGGAGGGTGGACTCAAAAGCAGATTTCTGCAGAGCCTCCTGGGTGGCACCGGCTGCTCAGCCACCCTCCTCTGCTGTGACCGCCTCACACTGCCGCTCCGCAGGACATGTCCACCCCTCAGAGGAGTCAGGCTCTTCCAGAAAGACACGTGCTTGGACACGCATTTCCCAACTTCCAGGCCAAGGACCACTTCTAGCAGAAGGCCCTGAGTGCTGACCCTGCTGCGAGCCACCAAGTCAGGGTGCAATGGATCTGGGCCTGGGCACCCCATTTCATAGGCAGCCGGGTAACAACACCTCAGTGCACTAGACCCTGAAGCCCACAGCCCTACCCATGCAACCCCACAAGAGGCTGAGTCATGCAACCACACTGCTTTTCTGATGTCGCCTGGCCGCTCTCAGCTGCTTCCTTGGGGAGCGGGGTTCTGGGAGGGGAATACCCCCACACCATGGAGCGTGGGGAGTGTGGCGTGTCTTGGGGGCTCAGAGACGGCATGCTGCGCGGCCAAGCACACACATACCTCTGACCTGAGAAGTACCAAAATTCACAGATTGACAAAGAGGAGTGGGAGGTGGCCCGGATGAGTCCTGTTATTTTGAGCTCGCCTGGCTTGTTCAGATTGAGGGAGGAACCTAGTCACCAGTGACAAAAGTTTCTTTGGGTCTCAACCAACCACATTTAAAAGCAATGCTGGACTCTAATTGTGAAGTTGGGGGCCTAGAACACCCTAGAACATGACACCACTTGTTTTCCAGAAGAGGAGCCTCAGATCCAGGAAGGACACGCGGCTGGTAAGTGGCAGCGCTCAGCTGAGGCATGGGAGCAGACCTCCACCGTTAGGGGATGACGAAAAGCCAGGCCTCTGGAGAGACTTGAGACCCTCACTGCCTCCGTCACAGGTGGGGGGTGCCAGTGGGGTGGGGACACTCACCTGCCTTGCGTGTGTCGGTGGGAGCTTGGCTTGACACGGAGCCCCTTGCCAGGTCCAGGTTTGTTTCATCTCTGCCTTCTCTTTCTTCAGGAATAACCATGCTGGCCTTTTCCCTGGGCAGAGAAACGTTTTAAACATTCTTTGAACTGATGTCACACTTCTAGATTTTAACCGTTTCTAAGTGACTAGATGGACTGAGCGCTGCCACCCTGGCAGCTGAGGGGTCATGCGTGAGGAGGGCCATGGGCTTCAGGGTCTCGTGCACTGAGGCATCGTTACCCGGCTGCTTGTGAAACGGGGTGCCCAGGCCCGGGGTGCCAGGGTCGCAGCGCTCAGCTGCTTTAGATGTGTGTACGCTCGCGAGCGACGGTGAAGGGAGCGGGCGACTCTCTCGGGTGGGTCTTCATCCTGACCTCCCAGAGGGGAAGCAGCTATTTGTTTTCTATGCCCCGCATCCTTCGGGCGCTTTGAGACATGACGTAGTCATGTCAAAAGTGTCACAGAGACGGCTACCACTGTCAGGGAGACCAACATGTCATCGAGCATTATGAAAATTTTAAATAATTATATGCCAGTGTTTTCGGAGCAATTGAAAACAATTTGAGCGTTGTTCAAAGTCAGTGATTGTAAAAAAAAGTACAAGACACCAAACTTTGCTTTAAAGAGCTCCAGATGAGAGGCCCATTACGCCCTCTCCGTGTTAAAGGAGAATCAAGGTGAATACAAGAAAGTGAATTTCCACTAGAGTTAAACAAAACCCACGTCGCGGGTTATGCCACGGGAGCAACATGAGTTCATGGACTCGCGAAGCTACGTGGAAGCACTGCGGGGTGCTCCGTGGCCGCACGGGGTGCTGCGGCTCAAGGAGGCTGTGCAGGCCGTGCTGCCTTGGAAGCTGGCCCTGCGTCTCGGAGCAGGGGAAGGACCGTGACACGGTCATGACTCAGGCTCGGCGTCGGGAACCACCGTCATGGCGAGACCCTCGATGACCAAAGGAAGAGTGAGCCGGTCTGCTGTGGCCGAATGTTCCCG